ATGCAGTACAGTATCCGCAAAATAAAGGAAGGGGTCTGTGGACCACCCTGTATACCACGATCTCACGAATTAAAATCCTTTTAGGAAAATGTGACGAGTGGGCGTCGACGCCTGGTGCTGTAGCCGTCGGCGAGCCTTCCGGCACACGTCTCAGTCCCCGTCGAGTGCCGTGAGGTAAGGCGCGTCATTCTCACTTTCAATTTCTGTCTGGCGAGGTGGCGGGGCGAGGGCGGAGGCGTGGTGGGACACCGGGTGGAAAAGGGGGAGAGGGGGTAGGGCAAGTAAAGAATAAAGCATTCCGGTAAAGCCAAAATGCAGAAGAATGCGAGGAAGAGGAAAACGGATATCACTATGCTTTTACATGGAACTTCCGTTTTCTTGTTCTCTGCATTCTTTTGCATTTCAGCTTTACCGGAATGTTTTATTGAGTTGAGCAGTGTCGGACTCGGGGTGCCCTGCCTAGCCATTGCCGTGTCCGCTCCTCCCGGGCCATACTTCCGCGCGTACTCTACACCTCCTGCCGTGTGCACTATACGGCCATCAAGGTGAACGAGGCCCTCGAGAACAACAACACGATTAAGAATAAGACGATCCGTGTGCGCTGGTGGTGCATCATTTCACGCTCGAGCGGGTCAAGCGAGGCGCAGCTCCGCAGACGGGCCAGGATGGCGACGCGCCGCGCCGGCCGGCCAGTCCAGCAGCAATGAGAGAGATGCTGTTTACGTTACGTAACCTCCAGACCACACCAGGCCATGCGTGTCACAGCGCGCTGTACAGGAGGCGAGGCGGGCGACGTACCGCGGGCCGCGGGCGCTTTTCTCAATAAAACGGTGGTTGTCGTTGCGGCAATCCAGCGCTGCAGTTATGATTGCAGAATACAATGATGATGTTTTGTGCAATAAAAATGTAATGTGGATCATGTGAGCTGCGCAAAATGTTGTCTACCCATTCATTTCGTCCGCCGGATTGACATTTGGCGCAGCGGACAAAATTTTCCGCAACGCTCCAGAAAAACGCCCGGTCAACAGTGGATGCCATATTAAGGTCATTGATCATTTTCGACACGGTTCTAGCAAGCGTGAGATGTACTGCTAGATCGTGACGTGAACAGATAAGGTCACAACGTGCAGTCGTACGTCGACTTTACGCGTCCTTTCTTTGCGGCTGGAAGTGAGCCAAAACATAAAGTATTTCGCGTTGGGATGAACGCCCGGAGACTAAGCTCTGATGCCCACAACTAACACGGCTTGTGCTTCTGTGGCCCTCGCCTTTCGCCGTGGTGCGTTGTCTGCTCTCGCTGTCCAGAAGGCGGCGCCCGCGCCGGAGGAGAAAGCTGCGCTTCGCGCCGGGTCAGCGGCCCAGCGGTGGCCATGGGGCGGCGGCCTGGGTTCGACTCCCCGGGGAGACCGATTCATTTTTCCTACCTGCTGTGTCCCATTCGAGAGGTACTTCACTGTAAAATCAAGCGTGTACGCCAATATTTCTGTGTTTTCCTGAATTTTCTTTATTTTTTTCTCCTGGAGTTTTCTTATTTTTTCACTGGAGTTTTCTGATTATTATTTTCTGATTTTTCTGATTTTCTCTGATTTTTTGTCTGGATATTGTTGTGGTGTGTGATGTGCCCTTTGATACTGTTTCTTTGTTTCGTATTCGTTCTCACGGCGGGTGTTCGTCGTCGCCAAGGGTGCTCGCCAAAGGGACAAGGGGTCGGCGACGGGTTGGGTTTGGCCGCGGCACGGGGCAGCGAACAGCGAGCGCGCGGGAGCGCGGATGCGATTCCGAATGGATTCGGTTCAACTAGATTCGGTTAGACGGTTGACATACCCGGCTAGAGCAAACAGTACAGTAGTCGGGAGTCGGCGACCGGCCGGCTTGCCTCGCGGGGTACACGGAGAGCCGCTCAGCTGGGGGCGGAGGGGGAGGGAGGAGTTTGTGTCAAGGCCTCGTCGTGTGCGTGTGTGGCGTGGAGCGCGCCTGGACACCGCCAGATTGCGAGGCAGGGAGGAGAGGGTGAGGATCGAACCGCAGAGGAGGGGAAGGATGGCAAAAAAGAGTAAAGGACAAGTGCCAGATCGGCGGAGACTGGACTGGAATGGCGAGGGCGCGGGTGGGGCAGGGCGGGGGAGTGAAGTTGGTGAAATCTCTTGACTTGACGGGACGGGGAGGGCAGAGGGAGCGGTGACGGACGGACTGGACTGGGCGTGCCAGACAACACACGCCTCGAAGCAAAGTCCAGTAGTGACTCAGCGGCCACCAGCGAAATCAGCAACACAGACCGTGATCGCCGTACACAAAGCCTTCAAACCTGGAGCGGCGATTGGTCCATCCCACGCCACCAGGCGGGCCAGGTGGAAGGGGGGGGGGAGGGGGGCACACACATGGATTCACAATACTAATAAGCCGACAGAGACAGAGTGCCATACTTTGACTCCAACAGAAACGCCAACCCACCTCGCCATAACAACACCAACGCACCAGGTAGGTCACTTTGCCCAGTCAAGTGTACAGGGCTATCCTACCCTACCCAGTCATGTTGGCAGGCATATCCAGTCATTTCCAGTAATTTTTCAGTTGCATCCAGTCATCGTTGCAGTCAGCCTCAGTCACGTTTAATATTTCAACTCCCTGTCACTTACACGCACTCTCATTTCCGAAGCGGCGTACCGCTCACCCCTTGGCAACGCCCCTTTAAAAGCGAAACTCAATGCCACCCACTGAGGGAAAATTCCAGTGATTGGCATATAATGACGCATTGCTTTAATTTACTGTACTTACAGCCGCGCGACGGCCCGCCCCCAGACCTGTGTACCCTCGCTCTGCCCTTCTTCACTCTTAATCGTTCTGGTAATACCTATGCAGGTCTCCCTTTCCACGCCACCTCCGGGTAGGTCGCGGTCCGCCTCCGGGGAAGGGGAATGCCATGTCGTGGTGGCGATTGGTCTGCACACAGAGCGGCCCGGCCGGCAGACGCGATAGCGACCGCCGCCCGGCGCCGGGAGCGCTCCGCGATTCTCTTTCTATACCGGGCCCGGCGCGGCGTGTCGCACACGAAACAATAATGTGGTCGCGAGATGGGTCTCGTACTATGGGAAAGTTTTCTCGCCGATCGGGGCGCCGACCCGTATTAGACTACTTGACCCACCCCATCCCGAGCACACGACGCGAAAAGGTCACAAAGACCGAAATAAAAGAATATAAAATGGGGGTCACCATTTCAGCTAAGTACGTGACATTTGGACGTGAGTAAACAGCTCCCTCAGCAAAAATGTGACGCTTCCATGTCGTCGTTGCTACTACTCGGCGGCGACACGATGCGCCTGTGCAGCTGATGAGAGCCCTTCACCCCTTCACCCAGTCTCGACCCGGCCGGGCCCCGGCATGCAGAAGCAGCAAGCAGCCCACAGCCCACCCAATGCATGTGACTGGAGCGCCCTCTGTCGCGACATAGGGCGAGTCGATGTGTAGACCGTGTGTGTCAGTGCCGGAGCCGGAGTCAGGCCAGGGCCGGGCCAACAGGCCCAAGCCGGTCACCGCCTTTCCTTAATCCGGCTCGCACAGTCCCGTTAAGGCTGCTCGCACACACGCGCACGCGTACGCTCACACACACACACGCACACACACACACACACGCACACGCACTCACATACATACACACGTGCCAGCACCGGCGCTGGAGATGGGCAGCGACGACACCATAGGGCTTACCTCGCTCGCTTCTTCTTCTTGAGGCAGTCCATGGTCGCTGCTAGGCGGCGCTGCTACTGCTACTGCTGCTGCTACTGTCTTGGTCTTCCCCGCATGCCGCGCCCGACGACCACGTCGAACAGCTCCTCCTTCTCCTCCGCCCACCACCGGTCGGCCCCCGTCGTCGCCGCGGCTGTCACCGCGGTCCCGTTCTCGCCGGCGGCCTCGACGCACCGCTATCGTCAGGAGCGCTCGTCGACGGCGTGGTGCTGCGTGTGGCCGCGGCGGACACCAACTCCATGTGGCACCATCGGGTACCGCGCGCCCACTGGCCGGCGGCCAGCCGCGACCCGCAGCCGCTTCCGGCTGCCCCGCCCCGCCGCGCCCGCGGCTCGGACCGGCTCCGGGGTGGGAGGGGAGTCAGCTGATAGCGGCTCAGCGGCACGACGACGACGCGACCGCGGCCTCGTCCGTCGTGGTTGTTATTTGCCGTCACGCCGGCCCGGGGAGCCCGTCACCGTCACGTCGATCCCGGTCGCGCCGCCGTCGCGGGTCGTGCGCCTCGGGCGTGTTGTGCGTGACGCGGCGTAGCGCGGCGTGGTATGCGGCGTGGCGCGGCGTGGGCGTGCGCGCGGGGAGGCAGTCGCGGCTGCACTGACAGCGCCCGGTGGAGGGCCCTGCTCGCCCTGCTCCACGCCGCGGCGCGCGGCTCCACTCGGCTCCACTCCACTGCGCGCGCCAAGCCGAGGAGGGAGGAGGAGGAGCAGCAGCAGCAGCAGGAGAGCGAGTGAGAGGGGCGGAGCGGCGGGGTGGGAGGCGCACCGAGGGGG